TCAGGTAATGGTGACTGCGTTCAAATATAGTCCTCTATTAAAGATAATAAGTGGCATATGGCCCCCTTATCTATTCGCAGAAAAATTAGTACTTTTTTCATGAATATAGACGGCATATTCAATGCATTTGAAGCATTATTTGATATTCATCGTTTTTCTGATTTATCCTGACACCAACGTTTACTGTTTTCCTTTACTCCAGTTCATGGGTAATCATTCCAATTCCCTCGTCTTGGAACTTTTATTCTTGTGGATCACAAACAGTACTTCTTTTATTCTTTCTCTCTTTAATGATTTAATAAAGAAATCTTTCTGATGAAGAACTAATGAGAATTGGATCCCTTGAAGCGATTGGCAAATGGAACTTACGTTCACTGTCTATATCCGTGTCGTAGTCAAGTGTCTTCAAATCGCGTTTCATTAGGCTTGGAAGAGGATCTTTATACTGCAGACTCATTCCCTATACAAGATTAATGAAAATACTGTTAAAAGGCAGCCATTATAATTCTATTGAGATGGAAACAAATTGCGTTTTACCTGCAAGAGAAGTAATTGGAATTGCATCAGCCTTTGACTAATTAGAAACATATCTTCACGCGACGATAGTGGTAATATTTGCTTTAAAGTGGGAGGTAACTTCTGCAACATCGTACCCAGTCGATTCACCGTGTAATATGGCATATCCTTAGAGGTATTTGCAAGTGCTTCCAAGGCTGAGGTAAGTGGTAAGAGTGATTCATTCTGTGCAAGCGAGATGCCTTCTATGGCCTCAACTAGCTTGCCTGTCACCTTAGAAGTGAAAGATTATGATGCATCACTATACTGATTTAACGAATGGAAGTTTGAAAGTACCAGAAATCGAATTCTTCGCAGAAATGTCATTGTGCTCCAGAGAACAAGACATTGACTTAAGCTTTGTGGTTTCATTCGTTTCATCTGGCTTCATTTCCATTCGCGTTAATAGTACAATTTTGAATACCGTTTTCATAATTGAATCATATATGCTACTTTTGCCGATCGTGAAGTAACTCAAGTACTTTTGAAATAAATGCCCACTTGAATGATTCAAATGATTTATTTGCATTTCTTTCAATATTAAGCTGCTTCGTAATAATGACTTTTTAAGTTTACCGCTTCGACATTGTTAGTAACAATTGAAAATATAGCGACATGTAAAGTACAATTATAGGACTTAGAAACTCACAACTCCAACTTTGTTACGTTTGGCGTCAACATCGCTTTGTCCTACTGAAGAGATAATAAAACAGAACACGATGAAAGTGGGAAAAAGTGTGTAGTTTTGCATTATTTGGAGCAATTTACGCTGATTGTGAACTGAGTCCATAAAATTGTTAACCTGGGTCGAAACTACTTGCACAGTCGCAGAAATCAAATTTGGATTCTTTGACAATATCGCCTCCTCAAGTAAGCTATTCTTGTCAGATAGGAGAGCATCAAGTTGACTTTCAATATCATCCATTGTCTTGGGAATAAACTTGAATGAAAGAAATAAAGGTGATTGGGAAACGAACAAATTAAATATTAGATATTTAATCAAGAATGTATTTATTTAAATTCCGTTAAAACATATTTCAAATTTGCATATCTTTAGTGAATGTGTGCTGCAATACATACCAATCAAAAACTCTGATGAGAATCTAAGAAGTATCAACAACTCAACAACAACAAATATTTGACAATATTTTTTCCCTTGATCAATACCGTAAGGCGTACATTTCCATGCCCTGTATTGTCTCACTTCCCCATATCCCTTCAGTCTTTTTACATGTTAAGTCCCTCAAACTCCGTTTTTTCCTCTGGTGTTGCTGCCAAGCCTACAACCTATACTTGTAAATTGACAATGACGTTGATATCAAGTAGTCAAATGAAATAAATCACATTTTTCCTCCATAATTGGTGGAAATTAAGTTATTCTAAAGTCTACCTCTTGCACTGTACATGCGATAACTTCAGGTGCAATGTGGGCAAATATGAAACCTTTCTTTCTGCTGAAAATTGAATCACTACCGGAGCAGTACTTAAAGAATTTTTAAAATTGCTCACTCCAGAATCAAATTAAGGGTTCCATGGTCCTTTATATCTTTTAAGATCAGATTGCATTAATTATTTTTATTAATCATAATTATTTCACTAAATTAAACAAAATTATACTCATTATTCGTTATGTATTGCAGATTAAGAATAGACTGTCAGGCGAATGAGGATTACTAAGAAATAAAATGGAACTTGTAGTCACAGAGAGATGGGGAAAACTCCTTTACCGCTCTACTTTCCCTCTTTCCTATCTATTCGAACTCGGACACTTGGTTTGTCATTGCCTTGTGATTGGCTGCTGTAATAAACTTTCACTTTGTACCCCATAATTCGTTTACAGTGTGAGTCCAATCACTCCTCTTACTGAAGACAATTTGCGGATTGGATTTCCATTCTCAAATGCTCTGAAAATTTGGACAATTTCACTGGTGGCTATTCTTCGGTAGAAAGAGAAAAATTCGCCTTGACACTTACTTTAATTTGATGAAAGCACTTGCGGACAATGACCATCGATCCTGGCAGACTTCGAATGCAAGGCGTAACAGCATCATCCGAGGCGGGAAGATAACTGCAGAACGATGGACTATCTCCAAATGCTATTGATTGCGTTCCCAAATTGGTCATTGCTGAACAGGATGGATGTTATCACTCAAATGTTGTCACTTACTATAAAATTCAAAAGTATCACCCAAAGAGGAAGTACAGTTACAGTTGACACACACCGTTTGAAAATCATCTATCATATTTGGGGCATTTAAGATACACGAATCGCATTTTTCAGGCATGTTAACCGTGTACTGTTCGCATATTTTGGTTATCTTTGAAACGTTCTCTTGAATTATCAGACAGACTATTAAATACGTTTCCCTTGGCAGCTGAAGTAGCAGTTGTGGCGAGATAACCAAAGTACTTCTTGTTCGACCGCCAGTATACTTTTGCATTTCCTTGTCACTCAACTTCCAGAAAGTAGAGTTGGGATATGATATGGTGAGTTTCCATTGAGTCACCGTGTTTCGTGGGAAGATAACCTGATTGCAGGTACTAGTAAGAACAGTTTCTTCAGGTGATGAAATTACCGATCTTCCAACCGACGACAATGGTTTTACAAGCCTAAATGCACAGAGGAACTTAGACAAGCAAGAACTCACTTGATGACCACATTCATAGTTGGCTCATTGCCAACTAGGATAATGTGTCTATCACGGTGAATATATCGCTTATTGCTTCCATATATAACCAGATTATACAAAAAATTAGTGTTCAATTCAGCTTTTGGAAGACAAACACTTGTATTGGCTGTCGGAACTTCAAAACTCTTCCCATCTTCGATAGAGATCACTTTAACAATGAACGAATTAACATTCTAGAAAGAGAAAGATAGTTGTAATATTGGCAAACCGCCGTGACAATGGAAGGAATTTCCGGATGTGGTATAATTTCTGGGGAAAAACAGACATCCTGCTTCATCCACTTCACAAAGTGAAATCGACCAGATTCACTAAAAATTCTAAATCCCACTTCTTTCAGTGAGGGCGGTGAAAAGGACAAAATATTTGCAAGTGAAACATTTCGTTTTTGATCGAAGCTTTGACAAATAATTGCTTGGTCCATTGAGTCTTCAATTTCCAATATTCGGAAAACCTCATTACTTTCACCATCGAGTCCAGAGGTGATAACAGAAAGGACATATAATCCTCTCTAATTGGAATAGGTTTAAACATCACATGTTCTCATTACTTACTGGTAATTTGGCTTGGAACTGGTAGTCACCACCTTGCACCTCTTCTTGGTAAAATTCATTGGGATCGCTGTATTGGGTGAAACGATACCTTTCTTTGCTTAAAGTACCAAACATTTTAAAGATGAAAGTAAGAGCTGTATCATTGGCAAAGACGTTGTAATGTTCACCACATCCGGTAATGTATTCAACACCGACTTCAAACACCGAAATGCCAGTAATTCTGGGAGGCTGCATTGCTACATAGGGAAATGAGAGTAATTGAGCCAAAATCAAGGAAACTTACCAATCGTTGGGGGTGGGGTGGATTGTTTGGCATTAACAACGACTTTGACCTCCGTTACCTTTGTAGCTGCAATTTTCTCACCAACATAGGAGTCTAAAATCGCCATGACCGAATAGCTTCCTTCTTGGTAAAATGCACCGTAAAAGAGTTGGACGTGAGGAAGTTCAATATCGATTTGTACCTTGTGCGAAGTAACGAGTTAAATGAATTAGGGTTAGCTATTTTCAAAATGATTTGAGTGTCTCGTTAATGAGATTTAACTCAACAGAGATTGATGATTAAGTTGTTTCTAAAGGAAAAACCTGTGTCTTAACGTGAAAGCAACTTGTCAACACAATCTGGTAGTGTAAACGCCTCGCTATTCTATTTCAAGGCTGTAATAATTTTATTTATGAAATATTTATGGGATCTTATTGTCCAGACTCTTGAATTATCTTGAAAGAAACCTTATCAGACAAACTGTGTGTCATTGGCAAGTTCTACATGTTCCATTTTTATTAACTCAAGATCAATTGCAATATTAACTCATTGCTAAGGCAGTGTTAATTTAGTTCCAAAAAACACGGGACATTGGATGCTTTGAGGTTAAACAAAATGGACTTTTATCAATGAGACTAAAAATTGGCAGTACTCTGATATTTTAAAACACGAGTTGAATTAGTGAAACTTTTCTTTGATCTACTTATAATTCTTCAGTAGAGAGTATCTTCACACTTAATATATATGGTCAATTTGCGTATGAAATTAGTGAAGGAGGAAAACGTGGCCACCAAGAATGATATTCATATTATTAGTTAGCTATAGGGTCAAAGTTGAGAAAGTGGTAAATTAAACAATTTTTCGCAAACTTACAGCAAGGGATTCTGACTTGTTTACCAGCCCAGTAATCACGCACAAAATGGTCGACGAATCGAGGATATATATATCATCATTTCTCTCAATTTTTGGCTGATTCACCACCTCATAGTATGTCAGCTCGTTCTCTTGGAATCTTTTCGTCCTGAGCTGAAGATGAGGCCATTTTAGACAGATATTTTTAAAAGCCGACCTACCACTACACTGCTGCTCTTAGCTATGGATCCGTCAGAACATGTCTTTAAAATGGAGTCAATTATGTAGCCTTTGACACAGCCATTGTGAATATACTTTCAAGGAAAAAGATTTATAATTATAATTTTTGTCCATAGAATTCTTGAGAGGGCTAACATTGATAATAATAAAGAGCGATTCAAGTGATATTGCACTTCATATATATTGACTTCGTTGACTTACAAAGAATTTGACGTCTTGGTGGTTGTTTGCAACCACAATGCGAATTATTTTTCCTTCAGGAAAACTGCCGAAAGCATATGTCATGGACTTGGGGCCATTGCAGGGGACAAACTGATTTTTAAAGGATCGTAAAGAGTGGACAGCCAAAGGAAAAATCATATTTTCTACAAGTCAAAATGGGCATAAAAAATCCGGGTATATTCGTATGTAAATATATGCTAAATGGTGTGTGTTGCAATCTTGTAAATCCTACAGAATTTTTGCCTTGGTGACGTGACAGATTACATATTTTGAACTCCATAATATGCTACATCCCATGCGGCACATGAGTTGAGAAATATTATGTCTGCTGTGCTGAGTTATGCTTTATACCACTTTTGCTTCCTTGTTTGAGATATGTACTGCATCCGTACTTATTCCCACTTCACCAATGTTTTCCCCATTATCACCTGATTCAAATTCTAATACTTACAAATGATCTAATTTGGTCTTTCGAGGAGATCACGAATTGTTGAATGAAGTTTAATTAAAGAGTACGTAAAGCTAAATAGACCAATATAAGAAAAAAACACACCATTAAATATGAAGTTCAGTGGAGGTTGGCTTTCCAACTGAACGGTAGCAATGATTTGTTCGCCTCCAGTTACCGCTAAAGCACATGAAAAGTGTTGATTTACAGTCACCTCCAGAGGACATTCAAAGCTGAAATCAAAGTTGTAGGCTCTTTCCAATGTAGTTATTACATCACTGCTACAGGGACACCTCAAAAGGTGTAGTAAAGCACACAAGAGACCGAATTTCCTATTTGTGTTCTAGAAGCAGAGGCAATGGATTATGTAAGGATGAACCTCTACCAACCATGACGGCAGTTAAAC